TCAATCAATCAAATCAATCAATCAATCAATCAATCAATCAATCAATCAATCAATCAATCAATCAATCAATCAATCAATCAATCAATCAATCAATCAATCAATCAATCAATCAATCAAGTCAATCAATCAATCAATCAATCAATCAATCAATCAATCAATCAATCAATCAATCAATCAATCAATCAATCAATCAATCAATCAATCAATCAATCAATCAATCAATCAATCAATCAATCAATCAATCAATCAATCAATCAATCAATCAATCAATCAAGTCAGAAGTCTTGGAAACCTTCGTTGTTCATCTCAGCAAATCATAATCATGATCGAAGCCCAACTCGATCTCGATTTCGGCAGTTTTCATCGAATAATCAGGAGCCCTTAGGTTCTCGCTCTCATATGTCTGCTGCCTTCTGTCGCCTTATAGAATTCCCTTACTTAGAAAGGCTGACGGACTATGTCATAATTCGCGCTCATTTTTACGCTTTCGTGCCGAATCCAGGGGTATGTGAGGAATCAACTGTACAAATCGATTGATAGATCTGCCACGCGAACGATTGCACCTGTAGACTTTGCCGTAAAACAACCCAGTGATGCAAGTCGGATAATCCAAAACTCCGCAGTTTCTGAATTGTAAGGCTCCAAAAGCGGACAAGATTTCGATGCTTGGAGGACGAAGTACATCGAATTGGTCAGCAAAGCCTGCGACAAAGACGTTTCCACGTCAATACGTGAGTCACCGGGAATATACCCCCAAGTTACGACTCCAGCATGATACCCTTGAGGTAGTACGAAATTGGGCTAGCACCCCACATGCTAGGTACACCCAATAGAATTCTAGGACGCTACTTATGATGATAGACCAAGGTAGCCTTATCCTATGTATATTATGTATGTACGGATCAGGACATGTAAGGAGGAGCTTAGACTCCTGCCTAGGTATAAAAGACCTAAGATTCCGATTAAATTCACTGTGGTATCTCCCTCTCGTGAGATTGCATCTCTGTGTATTCCTGAACGGGCTGCTCTTCTACTCTTGATCAGAGCTACGAATCTTGACCTTCAACACTGACTTCTTCCGATACAAAATGATCACAATTATAGAGCAAAATTCGGAGAAAGTAGTTTTGTAATTTGGTAATTTTGTCAAATATTCACGCTCCAGAGAGATGGTTCTCGCATAATCAGTCGGTTCACCCTAGGTCGATAATCCCAAAGCTAACCTGCATCTGCACCTCTAGTCGTTGAGTTGTCTACTCTCTTTCACCAAATTGATTTCGCAGCCGATTGGGTACGTCAAACGCATTTCCTTTGTCGAGAGGCATCGGCCACAAATTGGATAAACTATTCCGGTGGTTTTGGTCCCGTCCCGTTTCGTCAGCGAAACAGTCTCATACCGAGGAAACCATCAGGACGAGTCTGACACGCTCCTTATAATCTTCCTTCTCAATGATGGTCGTTGGAGACCCGCGACCCTCACGACGACGAGTGCAGTAAGAAACGGAGAGTGATTCTGGAGCGGACGCCCAGAAGATCCCTTCGTGGCACAGGGGGACGAGTTCCTCTTGTAGGCCTGACGGATACCTTTTTGTGTCAACGTCGCCGACCTCACAATTAGATCGCTGTCGCATCGATAGAGGACAGTTTCTTGCGGTTCTCGTAGTAGCCGAGCGAGGAACACAGCCTTTCATCGCTTCTGTCGGCACTCTAGCTGAATCCTTACTTGACATATTCTGACGTTGGATGGGGAACCACCATCATGGCCGTTTCGGCGGAGGCGGACTAGGTTTTCCGCGGCCAGCAGTGGTGCGATTTTGACGATCTCGGGATGCGAATCCCGATGGGACATGACATCGTGTGTAGGTGTCACTATTTCTCGCATTTTCCCAAGACTGGTTTATCCAGGAGCCATATGGGTCGGGGAACACAAATGTGTTTCTATCATCAACGTATTTAGAATCCTCAAAAACTAAGCTTTCGGCTCCCAGCAGTCGAGAGAAGTCATCTGCGAAGTACGCTTACTTTATAGTAGGGCGTCACATCGGGTCGAGGAAGCTCCAGGGCGTTTTATCCGCTGCAAATGCAGTTTTGCTCCAGCTCTGGTGATGGGGTATTCCGCTAATTCCTTGCGCGAGCGAGCATCCTGTTCGGCAGAGATGACAGTGAGAGATCATCTTCATTATCTGGGCTACGCGTTTTTCGATCCTGCAAGGCGACTTCCGTGGTCTGATTGATAGGAATGTCATTACAGAATCGATCGGTTTGTCGAGTGGAGGGCTGACGAGGATGGTGGGGAGGAAGGCGAGTCTCTGTTCGAATCTCCACCGGATCGGGTTTGCATACTGGTTCGCTAAGCCTTACCGGTTCGATCCGGTGACAAAATCTTATTTCCTGCTCGAAACGACCCCCTATGAGGATTTCCCTCTGAAATCCTGAGTATCTCACTACACCTTCCCGTACAGGAAAATAATATACACCTTACAGGGAAATCATCCACAAGCCGACGTAATCGCTGATGCCGTCAATGGCTCATGGGTCTCAGCGGATAGCGCACGTCCTGCGGAAGGAGACCCTCGGAGAGATCGCTCAAAAGCGGGAGAACTCTGGCCATCGGAATCGACGACCGAGCGTAGCTCCGGAGGGTAGCGTGACAGTAGCCCCTCTCGAAACTATCAGAGTTCTATATGGTTGCGTCGATATGAGGGATTGAATTCTTGCCGGATGTTCTGAGTTCCCTTGTTTGAGTATGGAATGGATTGACTTTCTGTCTCAACGGTCGATTAGAACTTGACTTAAGCACTCGCCTCTCGACCGTTGGAGCAGAAACAGAACGTTCACGTGCAAGCCTGCTGTGCACTGAAGCAGATGTCACGTTGCTCGTCACGAGCCTCGCTATGCCTCACTGCATGTGCCGCATATGCAGTCCTTTGTAAGCATGACCGGATCTGATTTTGATTTTACTCCGATGCGGCAACGGCTCGATTCATCCGAAATCCACCCCCTTTTTGTGGAATATAGTCGGTTCCGGTGAGGGCGGTTGTCTCGCCTCTAATAACCAGGGGGTATCTCATTTCCTCGGAATGCTCTCATAGGGTGAAGCGATAAAACGGAGGTTAACTTTCAGCTCTCGGCTCCTTTATTCATAATTCAATCCGAGCTGGTGGGACGGATTTGAAAGGATATTCAGAAAGAATCAAGGTGTCGGCTCTCTTTTCCGGGAAATCTCTCGTCGTCCGATACAGCTCACGATCGGGGTAAACAGAACAAGATATAACACAGTTTCATCGACAGGTCGGAGAAGACCACCATCATTGTCGTTCCCGTTTCCCGTATGTTCCAAGTATGGGCAAATACATCTTAAAAATTACTATAAATTACAGGCATCAAACTTTTTCGCCAACAATCGAAAGTTGCTCTCTTTGGTAGTTAACTCTGGTACTGTGTGTCGGTGATAGCTCCTTGACGAGAAAGCCATCTCTGAGCTCAGAGTGGGGAGATGTCTGAGTGGCAATGGGTGATTGGGGTTCCCTACATTCGAGCCTCGTAACTCGTGACCCCATCGTGATTGAGACTTCATACAGCAGGCTCTGACCGCACTCAGACCTCATCCCACCATCACATTTCCTCCTGACTGAAATCGGTCTCGTCTACGAAATTCTCCGACAGCTCGTCGTCGAAGCTCTCCGTCGGGTCTCTGATGGGCTTCTTGACCTTGCAAACAATTTCAGCCAAATCCGTGAACGTCGTTGGTTTCGTCGGCGGGGGAATGGACCCAGTAGGAGATTGTGGTTCTGGTGAGGCTGGATCCTTTCCAATACTCAATAGGAGCTTGATGTTTTGGTCTTGCTGAACGGCTTTCATCCCGGCGAAGAGAGTCTTCCCGTGTTGATAGCCCACATCCATGATTTCGTTGAAACAGTTGAATTGAAGCGTTTTATAGCGATCGATCGGAGGTCTGACGTAGGTGCAGTAGTCACTGTTTTTGACCTCTTCCAGTTGGCGAACGCACGAGACATATGCGAGCCTCGATTGGATTTCGGCCGAATTCGGAATTTTCACGGGATCGCCAATGTTCACGGGACTCCATCTAAAAAAATCGAAGACTCAATCAATTCCCCACCTTATGCTTTGAAATCCCCTCGAATCCATTAGGTCAAGATGTAGGGGCAAAAGCGGAATGGCGGTCCGGGGGCACTGAGATGGAGATGTACATTTCCGAGAATTCAGAAAATCACTCACCTCTTGAAGAGGAGCCACCAGCCGCTGAGTGTGTCCCCGTAATTGGTCAGGTCCGTTTCGTCTTGACTGCCCACATCGACAGCGATGATGGTTTCCGCACCCATTTCCCGGTACATGACGTCAGCCGGCAAATTGTTCACGTAGCCTCCGTCGAGCAACAGGTGCCCGTCGATTGGGTCGCAGAGAGGTGGCAGGATGCCGGCCAGCGACATCGATGAACGCACGTAGCTCCACAGGGAGCCGTGGCGGTGGACTTTCGGACAGCTGTTCGTTATGTCCGTTGTCACGGCGAAGTATGGAAGCCAAAGGTCTTCGATTGATTTGTCACCGAATTTGCCATGGATCCCACTATTGAACGCTTTACCGGTGAACCACGCGGTAATTGGATAAGTGATATCGAAAACCTGTTGCCACGGAGAAACGGTCTGGTACGCCCAGTCACGAGCTTTCTGGGTGAATGAAGTCATGTCCAGCTCCTGAGCCCACAAGGCGCTCATGAAAGCGCCAATCGAAACGCCGCCAACCATATCGATGGGTATGCCAGCTTCCGTAATCGCCTTGATCATTCCCACGTGGGAACAACCACGAGCGCCTCCGCCCCCGAGTACAAGCCCTATTGAAGTTCCGGTGAGGAACCTGGCGAGTCTCGAGAAATCCGAGTGGATATTGCACGGAGTGCTCTCAAGTTTCCGGTAGATCTCCTGCAGCTTGCTGCGTTTCGTGAAGATACGCTTGGAGCAGCGCAGGTGATGATGCGAGGAACACCAAGATCGGATATTCAACCACTCGACGGTGTTCTGGGGCGGGGGACCTCCTTCGCGATGCAGGAGGACGAGTTCCTTCTGGGTTCGTTTTGCGATCGACTCGGCCTGCTTCTCCAATTGGCCCACCTCAGGCCCGTTTTCGGCCACGGCGACGATCAGGATGCAGTCCGCCTGACGGATACATTGCTGTGTCCACGACGTAAAATCCCTGTCGCATTGATAGAGGAGAATTTTGTGGCGGTCTTCGAGCTGGCCGAGCCAGGAGCACAACCTGTATTCATTGCTTTTGTCGAGAGCGTTCGGTCCGAGTTCCTTCTTAACGTAATCCGACGTCAAACGTAGAGAAAGACCTTGTATGGCATAGTTGAGCTCCATGGCGAAAGCGTGCAAGGGCACGTCGTCCGTGACCGGCAGTAACGCGATCGTGGTGAAGTTGGATTGAGATTTCCGGTGGGGCACGACATCCTGTGTAGGCGTCACCGTATCCCGCATACTGCCCAGGATTCTTTGACCCAGGAGCTGTATGAGTCGAGTCACCACCACGGGATGCTTAATTTTGATAACATTCAATAGACCGACAGGAAATTTCGCCAACTCCGTGTCTCTCACTGCCATCATTGTCGTAGCGCGCGGAGCTTCTGTCAGCACTTCGACGAGACCTACGAGATCTCCACGACCGTATTCACCGACCATCCGTTTCTTGCCATCGGAACTGGTCACCACCGATCGCAAACGACCGCTGAGAATTATGTACATTGCGTCGGACTCGTCATTCTGCCGGTATACAACTCTTCCGCTGTCGATCTAGGGATAGAGAGAGAAAATGTTAGCCTTTCCGATATAGGTAATTTTAATAGGAGTTTCTGAATGGCGGCCCTCGCTACGACGCACCTGAACCCAATCCATGGCGAAATCGATCTGGCGAAGGAAGGGAGACAGCTTGTCGATCAGACCTGCGGCCAGATGGAGGACAGCGTCGGGGTTATCGACGAGAAGTGAATAGACTGTGGATGCGGGAATTGCGGCCACCCTGACCCGTGTCTTAGCCACACGAGTGACGAAAGGAACCTCCGAGGTCAGTGTCTCGAAGATCCCGACGATATCTCCAGGATGAGAATAGTACATCTCATCCGGTTCCTTCCCTTTGTGCGAGGTGCTTTGTCGGACCTCGACCACACCTGAAAACAGCGGTCCATCGATGAGCTCCGGTCACAGCTCGAATCTTGTGAAGATCTCGTTCCAGCAGATTCGGCACAATCGATCGACAGACTAACTCACCCTGAATGATGTAGTAGAGGTGGTTTATGTGATCGGTGTCGTTCTGGGTCGTGAGATTCTCCCCTATTTTATATTCTCGGAGAGTCAGTTTGTCGAGTATGAGTTCCTCTGAAGACAACCTCAGGTGACGCATGAAAGCTTGTGCTGCTTGTCGGAGACAATCCTGCTCCGCCGGTTCCGACTTGGTCGGCTCGGACAATCCAACCACTGATGCTCTGCGACCTTTGGAGGTGTCGGGGTGGGCTTTAGCTGGCGATACTCTGTTAGCTTGACCTCGAACCACTTCAATGCCTTCGTACGACAGTTGGGGAAAGGAAATACAGCACCAGGGTTACTAAACTACCACCGGGGTTACTATATGAACATGCATAAAGGAACCTCTCATTGTTCACACTCGACTCCAGCTCTCCTCTCCAGTCATGCCGCATGTACCCACACCGATTAATTAATGTATTATACGCAATGGAGCCACAACCATCACCCAACCGTTGGAAGCTTACCGGTGCTGGCCAGCCTCTGCATGATATTACTCGTCTTTCTTAGAATGCCCACGTGCTCATGCGGAGAAATAGCTTCTGTCGAAATATCGAAGGCTATCGGTCCAGAAATTTCTGAATGCTCACTCTCGCCATGAATTGGGGTATGCGGCTGCGACGGCGTCTGTACAGATGTTTTGCGGGATATCGCGGGCTGCTAAACAGAAAAGCTAGATTCAGTCGGGTGCTCATTTTGCTATCGATCGAGTGACTTCTCTCATTCTTTTCTTTTTTCTTTCTCCAGGGGGGAATTCAGTTCTCCCGCTCCGATTTCCGGGCTCTTGACCCGACGATCCGAATCGATTTTGGATCCGAGGACTTCTACGTCTCGAAGCACTGCGGACTCGAGTTGAAGCCCTATCGAGTCTAAAACTTCTTCGCGCTTGACCACACAGCCAAGATTTAATGTCCCGGGTACTGTTATTCACATTGCTTCCGAGGACGGATCCATAGAGCAAATTTACCAAGGAGGACCAAGGCCTAGTATCTGTGCTCCCGAAAGGAATATTTTTCCGGCAGCAGGGATCGAAGCCAGAACGCCTCCCGCGCGAGCGGCGTCGTTGCAGGTTGCAGCTATACACCTATCGAGTCTGGTGGGTATTTACCTTTATTGGGCTCCCTCTGTGGTGAATGAAACTCCTGCTCCGGTCTCGCGGCCTCATCATCTGAGTGGTGAGGCCGAGATAGTCGTGGAGCGCGCTGAAATTTACTCTCTGCAAACGAATCATCACAACCTGCACGAGCCGAACCATGGAATCCGGGTGGCGCTTGATTAGGTCACTGAATTCAGTGTATCTCAGGCGCAACACCTTCGAATCCTCCATGGCCCTTGCAGCAACGGTCTTGAAACTGCTCTGCTTGTTGGTGAGCACAATTAGACAAGAGAGGAAACTCGCGATGCTGTCTCCCGCGCGAACTTGCTTGAAAACGAGCTCGTCCTCCCCTTCCTGCGAATGATTTCAGTGAACACATATAAGCAAGACAGCTCGATTGGATTGGATGAGAAAATCCATGCCGTAGTGGAATTCTTCCGAACAACGGTAGCTGCGGAATCTTACTCTTATGAAAACGCTGATGCATCCGCTGTATACGGTGTAGATCGAGTCGTCTTCGTCGCCGACGTCGAAGAGCATATCCCCCTGTTTGATATTGTAACTCTCGATGTGCTTGTACAAATCCAAGAATAGAGGTCTTTCAAGGAAGCCAAATATCCGGATCGAGCGGATGAGATACAGAACGTCCTCCGGTAATTTGCCTGCGGAAAGAAATGGCGGTCCATCTAGCTGACGGTCTTCGTCTTCGCCTCAGGTGACCAAATATTTCGGTCAGATTGCATCTACCGCCCTCGTAATCCTGGCGACCAATGAGGGATTGCGATAAGATTGAAGGGCGATTTCAATTAGAACGAGGGACGCTTATCAGGGAGGGCTCACCGTCTTCGCGCTGCTCTGAGAGATCTTCCTCAAGGAAGGCTTGAGAGGGCTCTTTGACCTGAAGCTGCGGCAGCTCTCTCTTAGGGAACATGATCTTCTTCGCCAATCTCAAAACCATCTGTCTCTTCTTCACCCTCTTTCCATAAGGAGCTGCTAGGGTGTTCATGTGCCGAAGCATTCGTTTAGTGTAGAATAACATTTTGTCCCGTTTCCTGAAAAGCGGCAGCAAGATGATAGACCCTTCATATCGAGGGGAGCATTCCTCGAGCATGCCTTCATGGAGGCATGCTCTGGATTCGGGAGGTTGCAAAGAGGCATATCACGAGAGCTCAAAAAACCTCATATAAACTCGGGCTCACCTGAACCTAGGACCCCTGAGGCCCATAATTTTTTCCACCGTCTCCACCTTGAGACCTTGGGTGCCTATTTTCTTCTGAACAAGAACAGCGACGAGGACAACAGCAACAACAAGGAGGAATATTTTGAAGAGCGTCAGGGAGTTGTCCTCGAGCCAGAGGCCGTAGGAATGCGGCAAAAAAGGCGCCCACAACCAGTCGACTTCCTTAAACCACGACATATTTTCTGTAATTGATCGAATACGGAATATTAATCATCGATGGAGACCGATCTGAGGACGGGCGCAAGAGTTCGACCGAAGTTCCGCTATGACGAGGAATCGTTGCCCCGAGCTCTCGAGAGCTAGAGTCATCAGACTGGGTCGAAGGCATCGAGTTGGAGGATTCCTTTCTGCTGATTCTGACGGACTCAGAAAGTGACGGTGAGGCCCCTCAATTTTGATAGGTTTCCAGCGACTCGCATTAAATTGGGCCGGAAGACGGCGACTCGCCGTCGGAGTCATGCCGTCCGCTGGATATCAACGCGATCGGGATCACTCGGGCGATTCGACGCTCCCGTCTCGAATGCCTCGAAAACCACTGCCTGTCCGCTAGATTTTCATATGCCCTCAACCCCTCGCCGCACACGATACTCGGAATAGATTTCAAAGCGATCGGATGGTTCAAATCGCTCATCTAGATTTTCACTGAGGAAGAGATAGAATTCGGTGGTGCTCATCAGGTACGAAACGTCTCACACTGATATTCCCGCGGATATGCTTCACACTGGCAAACTGGCACTGACTCCTTCCGTTCTAGGAATCGATGTATTCGCTCGAACGAGGAATATCCGCTCGAGAATGATAGCGAGAGATTTGTATCTCTCCTATCGCTTCTTCCGAGCTCCGCTCTTGACCGTCATCACCGTTCTCACGGCTCACCAGTAGGTTCTTACTCATGATTCAATCTCAATCAGGCCACATGTGCTAGTGAGGAGAGGAGCTTTTAGATTACCATATAAATATGACTGTTTTCAAAAACGAGTCCGCTGGCTGAATCAGAAAATTTTCGGAAAAGTTCGGCGCGACGCCAGTAACGACAGACGTCGCGTAATCGACCCGACTTCCGTATTAATTTCTGGTAGTACTGCGCGACCGCGTAGGTAGGTATTCTCGCTGCGAGTAGAAAAATTCTGAGAAACCAGCGATGGGAAAACCTCAGTCGGCGTCAGAGAATTAAGTGCTTATGATGTCACGGGAGGAAGGGCCATCACCACTCGGAGTTATCTGAGCCAGTTCTCCACAGGGAGCATCCGAGCAGAGACGAGTTTCCCATCGATTACGTCATATTTAACAGTAAAGAGAGTATTGAACTCTTCAGTCCTCCGCTCAGATCACGCAAGCAAGATTATGTCAGATCCCGTCGGCAAAACGGTCTCAGAAAGCCGTTTTCGTAGTTCGACCGAGGATGATTATGAATCGTCGAAGATCGGCAAACAATGCGAGGCAGCACGCGGTTCGCTGGCAGGCTCAAAGAAGGCTCCTACTCGGGTCGACACGACGCTACGCCCTCAGATTAGCGAGTCTTACGCCGCAGCTAGCGGTTAGATGAGTCTCGAGCCAACGTTGGCGGAGAACGATCGCACACTGCGCGGAGTTCGGGAGCGAAATTCGAACACGAGCAGCTAGTCACGAAAAACATATGATCGCTCCCCGGTGCCCCGGTGCACGCGCAGTGGTTCTTCTTCGATCTATTTCGCGGAAATGAGACTCACCCTCAAAATCAAGGCTGGGGAGGAGTTGAAGGGAAAAAGAGGAAAACTGACACCAGCTCCACAGCCGTGATCCAGCTTCGCTAAGAGACTCCGTAGCGTGAGGTAGCGCACTCACTACTACTCAGTCAAAATCGACGCATCGCTTTTCGTGTTGACGCTCAGGACCGTCAGTGTTGTCCTTCTCTTCCCTCACGCACGCAGCAGCTGCCGTCATACGGTGAGCAGCAGTAGCTCTCTTCTCCGACGGCTGTCAGCTGAGAAGCGGATACATCGACACGCGTTGCGAATCGGGCTCATTCTAGGAATTTGTATATTCTCTCTCTTGGCTCCTTCTCACTGAATATTCGATCGATCATCTCACAGAAATCAACACCTGCGCAATCTGCGACTCCGAAACCGCGAAATTCTCCTAGGATCGACGGTCGACTCGCCGATTTCGTCGTTTGTTTACATCTGGATCCGCGGTCTGCTAGGAGCCGCAAGTCGGTTTTGCCGAATCACTCACTGTAGACACAGAGTCGCAAATTTTCTACAGAGAATACCTTCGGGAGTCCTTGAGAAAACACGGAATGGAAAGAATCCTGAGATTCGGTGGGAGTCTCTCCGGACTGGGCCAGGTGAGCTGATTTACGATAATAGAATCACGTCCCGCGAGAGCTCCTCGAAGATCCGGCTCCGAGTATTCGAATCCGGCGATCTGAGCATACATTCTTGAATGGTATCTCAACGAGCATCTCAACTGCTCGAGATTCTCGATTCTTGGCGGAACTACGACCTTCGGTCTCCCAAAATTAAATTCACTCAGCGAAGAACGAAGGTTCTGGCCATTAAGCTTGAACTCGCTAGCCGATGCCGGAGAAGCCGATTCCTTGAAGTTCTCCTGACATCGCCGTTGCTTAATCGAGAGTGTCGGGGAACGGCCGGGTGGAGATCTAAGGAAACTGCTCCAAGATATTTCGCTTTTGCTGTGGGCTAGTGAATCAGGAACTGCTTATTACGTTACAGCCTCCGCCAAACGCTGATGGTCCGGTCGTCGACACCGCTGAACAAGTGTACATATCGTCGCTGGCTTTATTGAAAATGTTGAAGCACGGACGGGCTGGAGTTCCCATGGAAGTTATGGGTCTGATGCTCGGAGAGTTCGTTGATGATTACACCGTGCGAGTGGACGACGTGTTCGCTATGCCTCAGTCGGGTGAGCTAGAGTTCTACGGAGGCTGGAATCTCGCTCGATAGGACCGAGACGGGTTACCCGGGGGGAAAGGAGTATTTCCGGAGGAAGCGCGATCTGACTTCTCTTCGATCATTTCCAGGAACTGGCGTTTCTGTCGAAGCCGTCGATCCGGTTTTCCAAGCTAAAATGTTGGACATGCTGAAGCAGACTGGACGGCCAGAGATGGTTGTTGGCTGGTACCATTCGCATCCTGGGTTTGGTTGCTGGCTCTCCGGCGTCGATATAAACACTCAACAGTCGTTCGAGCAACTTACGGACCGCGCGGTCGCTGTGGTAATCGATCCCATCCAGTCAGTGAAGGGCAAGGTTGTCATCGACGCCTTTCGGTGAGTGACGCCTTGTTGTTGTTCTTGATTGTGGCTCTAGGCGCCCTCCTTCCATAGATACGTATACGGACGAGTCTCATGACGTAAGAGATCGTTCACCTCGAAGAAATGCCCGGAAACAGAGAGGACAACCATTAGATAAGAGGCCGGCAACAAGTGACAACTAAGACATTCGTGGTTACAGGTTGATCCAAGCTAACATGATGGTGCTAAACCAAGAACCGCGGCAGACGACTTCGAACCTCGGTCATCTGAACAAGCCATCGATCCAGGCTCTCATCCACGGCTTGAATCGTCACTATTATTCGATCTCAATCAATTATCGGAAAAACGAGCTCGAACAGAAGATGCTTCTCAACCTGAACAAGAAGTCCTGGGAGGAAGGTCTGATCCTCTCCGACTACAAGGTGAGTTCCTTCGGCTGTCGGGACAGCGCGTTCTCTCCTCTTGCGGGGCAAACCGTCTTCCACGAGTCTGATAGACTGATAAGTTATACCGCCGCGCGGAAACGACTGCACCTGTGAGTTACGAAGAGGCTCGCTTGTGTATCCCCGAGATTCGCGCATCCGCCGGTTGGTCGGCTCTCCCCGCTCTCTCGCGCTCGGATTTATTCCGAAGTGAACTCTGGACAAACGTAGTGAATTTTCTTCTCAGGATCACAGCGAGCACAACAAAGCAACAGTTGACGAGATGCTGAAGCTCGCTAAAGCCTACCATAAGGCTTTGGAAGATGAGGACAAGATGACCCCGGAACAGCTTGCTATCAAGAACGTAGGCAAGCAAGATCCGAAACGGCATCTAGAGGAGAAGGTCAATGTACTCATGACCTCGAACATCGTACAGTGTCTAGGCGCTATGCTCGATACGGTGGTCTTCAAGTGATGCTGCACAAATTTCGGAATCTGTTGTCGGACTGCGCCTTGAGAGAGAGATGCTGACAGCGGGGATAATTGTACAAATACTAATCTTATATTCGATACAGTGACGATTGCAGGCGAGAACGGATGAGAAATAAAAAGGTCTATGTTCAGCAGAGATCCTTTGTCCTCCGCTTAAGAAACAGAGATTCCTCTATGCCCTCGGATGGCGGATTTCGGCGAGGATGAATAACTCCTCGCCGACGGGATTCCTCCCTCGAGAATCGAAATTTCGCGGTCAGTCTGAGTTTCTTCTGGTCGAGAGAATTCTCTCGATGCAATCTTTTCGGAAGAATCCATGAGGAGATTGAGCTGCTCGGGCACGGACTCTCGTTCCGCGCAGATCGCATTCCTCTGTCGGATGGAAGAGCTCTCGGACTTCTCTCATGATCGAGCGATCGTGGAAACAAAGTTTTTATTCCTTCTGAGATCCCTAAACGACACGGTCTTTCGTTCGCTGTGCCTTCGGTATGCCGGTTTCACGGTAAACTTTCCTTTCAGCTAAATACTGCTCTTTGCATTCGTTCTTGAAGTCTTCGTCATGGAACCATTTGCCTAAGCATTCGTTCATGATATCCCTCTCCTTCCGACATTTGAAGATCACCAGGAAGCCAGTCCGCTTACTGCACTCGAGGAAATTCATGAAAAGATCATTGCATTTCTCCTGCGAAAGAAAATAGCGCTGAGGAGAAGACAAGGCGACGTTTTCCGCCCATCCAGAACGTGATATGCCTCATGCGGCTCGATCGAGACCCCCGCGACACAAATGCATAGATACCTTTTGTGCTCGTTCTCGGACGATCTTCGGAATCAGGACATTCCGCTCAACATTGCGAAGCCGACGATCGTTCGGATCTCCAACTCCATGCGGACCACCGGCCATCCAGTCCGGCAACACTGTTTTCCCGCCATCTCTCGGTTTCTCAGCCTCGTCGGAGGTCATACCATTAGGAGTTGCGGCTGGGCGTTCTTCGTCTCTGCGAAATGCGCGAGATGCCAAATCTGTTTCGACCTCTCCTCTGTTTACCTCAGAGCGCTAGTCGTCGGCCGTCGTCGGCGTTTTGCTTGCTTCCATCGTGTGTTTACCTCGGCTTGCAGACGAATCTTCACCAGAGCTGATTATAATGATCTCTGCGGAAAATGATGAGGCGGAACCTGCGAATTTCCAGACATGACGCCGCGAAATACCGGCTCCCCGACCCCCTTCAGAAAGCAATTCTGATACCACATACAAGGCTGTCCGATGGCCGTGGCTCCCAATCGGAAAGCGAGTCTCTTGCCGGTATGCTTGCTCTCATGAGAAGGAGTGACTAATGCTAGTATCTGAGGATGCGAGGAGGACTCAGAATCGTTGCATCCTTTTAGATGCGGAGACTCTACGCATAGCTTCATTCTCGATTGTTCTATAGCATCGTCCGGAATATGTCCGGATTCCTGTAGTCGATACGAATTCGCCGCTCGAGTCGCGATATTTTGACGGCAAGCGAAACCACGCTGAAAACTTATGAATCATCCCGGTTTTCCATTGGACCAGGCTTCGGGAACCATGGATCGCCTCTACCGCAAGAGGACGCTTAGCCCAATCGATTCGTGCCCATTCGTACCAAGCGTATTCCTTCATTTGCAGCCTATTGGTTGTCACAGCTGCCAACAAGAAATTCTCGAAAAGAGATACCAGTCATGACTCGTTTAGAGCGGAGGACGGCTCGAGGGCGCGTCCCCGACATCCGCGCGCTTTCTCACCCCTAGCATACAGCCGGGAGGTTCTCGTCTCTGCGACAGGAGCGTCTTTGCTCGGTCGCTGACGTGGTGAAGTACGATCGACCAGGATCGCCTTCAATGAACATCTGCTGGGGCTAGAAGCGTTTACTCGGATGGCGGTACGAGTCCGTGGGCATCTCCCACCAGGAGTGGTCATTATGGACATCAGAGCAGCGTGTGAGCTCGTCACTCCCGATCTTGTCGTCGACGTTGAGTGGAGAGGATGCTCGATTCCCGAGACGACTTTGACGCTCCGAGCCTACACCCGGCAGCAACGACCTGTTGCCGAGTTCCAGTTTGCCCACGATCAACAATACAGGGCCCTAACAAAGAGGTGGCGGTCGGACACTCTGCTGCAGCGTCTACTCGGGAGATCATAACATGGCAAGGAATAAGGAAGGACTCGCTATCGCCTTCCCTTTATAATATATATTTATTTAGCAGAAAATAGAGACCCAGTCGTTAACGAAGCTCAACTGAAGTCAACTGGAGCCACTACATTGTCTCGACTTGACAGCTGCTCTTGGGCGACTATTAACATGCCGCAGGAATCACAGATAATTCCCGCGCATGGTTCCCCTACTTTGCATGAAACGCCTTTGGGGCTGAAAGCCTCCCGAGGCGTAAGCATGACGTCCACCGTTGTATCCACCAACACGGAAAGGAGCTGGATTATAGGATGTTTTGCGGAGGAAGTTCAGCGAACGAACGGTGTCTTCGCCGAACGTCACAACATTCTGATCGATGTGAGCGGCCTTGCGTGGACTAACTTGCCGCGGCTCGCTCTGCTTCAAGTGGTCTCCCGCATCGACGGTCAACGTGTCGAAGAACGAGATCTCTTTATTGTATCCTTTATCCTGTTTTAGCGTTTCTCCCTCTCCGTCCAATTTCAAGCGAGAAAACTGCAGAAGTCAACGAGACGGATTAGTTTGGAATTAGCACGAGATTGCCCTGCTCGGAATCTTCGGAATGCGAAATCGGACGGTCTTAAGGCTTCACCTCCTCGAGTCCTTTGTCGATATCGTACTCTCCGATCGGCTTCTTCTGACCCGGGAATTTCTGCGGGAATGAGCCTTCGCGTTGCAGCGGGCTGCGTGAGGTGAACTGCGACCAATAATTGTTCCCTTGAGGTGCCCTGAAGTTCCGTTGGGGAGCTGCGGAACGCTCGCTCCTGAATGAGTTGTGAGTGTTCTCGGAGCGATAATTATCGTTTTTGAAGTCACGCTGAGGAGCAACAAATTAAACCTCGTCAAAGTTTGGACTCATGGCCGTCTCCGGCCAAAGATCGCAAAAGTAGCGGACCGCGGACGAGACTATCTCGTTTTGTGGCGACTGGTGAATCGGAGAACGGAACCAAAGTGGAATAAAAAGAAAGATAATAATCGGAGGGGAATAATAGGTGAAGAAATTCAAAATCAAAAACTCACCTGGAAGCGGGATCGAGCGAAGGGAGTATTGTAATGGGAATTGCTTCGGCGTACATGGGGATAAGGCTGTCGTCTCCCGTTGAAGCCGTCGGAGGGCCATCCGCCAGTGACGCTCACAATTGCGGGATCCGATCTCATACCGTCCTCCCCATCATCTGCAGATATTTCCTTCTATGATCGAGGCTTATGGACAATAAACACCGTCGGCTCTCCGGCTCCGCTCTCGACCTTGAGACTCTCATCTTGAGTTCACAACACTCGGATAATAATCGATTCGATCAGACCACCCCCCATCGATTAGAAGCCATATACGGGCGAATTCGCCCTCGAAAATCAAATCAAAACGACTCGACGATCGCGAAGCTGAAGTACGTGAAAAATTGACAGGCCCGCGATTCCGAGATTTTTCTCGGGGAATTACACATCGTACCACGGTTCGAGCTCGATGCTCTGAGCTGGATGCTTGAGATATTCACTTCGTACTCACCGAGCGCTAAGAAATTCACCACTTCGGCCGCTACGAACTCGACGCAGTCGTACACCTTATTGGAAGCTCTGAAACTCCCATCCTTGGATCCTAGCGATCGGACTGAAAGCAGAGCGGAGATCCACGATAAGTAGTTGAGATGCTTCGCAATTGTAACATTTCTCCGAATGCGTCCAGTCAAGGACGCGAGTCATCGCGTTGCACTTCAACCGCACGCCGATGGTCGCACGTGCGGGTATCGCCATTTCCGAATTGAGTGAAGTTTTCGAAAAGTCTGACCTTTGGTAAGCGTGAAGGTTCCATTGGACCGATTTACCGCTCGGAAGAATCCTTCGTATTGACACAAGGAATCAGTGGTGACAAGGACCCGGTTTCCTGGCTTAAGTTGGTTGGCCGACATGTTGCAAAAGAGACCAACTTGCAATTGATGCTCTTCTCGCTCGCTGGCGGGCGAGGTGGACGTTTGTCCCTCGGAACGTGACACGGCGTCGCGTCGTTCATACGAGGCGCGTGTTCTCTCGATGACTTTGCACGAAACGCACGTGCTATCGTGCCATTACCGACTGATATTGTGATTGAGTTAAGCAGAGCTCCTGAGATGACGGTCAAGGAAACTCTGAAATTCTGGGAATCGGTGAACGAAGGTTCGTACGTATTTTGATGAATCCACTGCAGCTTGTTCGTGAATCGCATTCCACCATGTGAGGGATCCTACTCTTTGACTTGCAGATCGCAGTGAGCAGAGCAACATCTGCCAGAAATGTAACACAAGGGTATACAGAAGTGAAATTCGACTTCGCGGCAGGCACCTGCATAAGGAGTGCTTCCAATGCTTAGGCTGCAGAAAACTCTTAAACCTCGCTACCTTCACCGAGTAAGGGATCCGATCGGGAAATTGCATGTGGTGGAGGGAAGCGTCTATTCCTGGCGTCAGATGTTCGGAGAGTGGCTTGGAAAATTCCGATTCCCCCCAGGGTCAACAACGAACTCTTCTGCTCCGAGTGCTACGCTGAGTGTTTTTCAAGACGATGGAGATGCTCAGAATTGATCGATACGAAACGACTCTCAACGCAGTTGTAAGGACCCCCCCCCTCCCCTCGTCCTCGGTGTCCCACTCCCGAGGGCCATAGTCATGCAATCGAAGGTTTGAGTTCGAAAACGATATTCTTTTCCAGGCAAGGCGTTGTCATGCAAGGTCAGCACTACCGATGGCTGCCCTCGGAAGCCTCTAATCGCGACAGGTAAGCTCATCGTCCCCGGAGCCCGGAAACTCATGTTTGAGGTACTGATCCGAGAAGGGGACCGAGCGATAAAAATTCGATAATTTCAGTGAAAACAGCGAAAGTACCGCCTCCTTCTATTCAGCGCTGTCGGAAAGCTCACAACTCCCGTCGACGTTCAGGTATGCAGCGGCAACGATTCTCGCGCTTATTACGTGGAGGGAAAACCCAAAGAAATCCAATTTCGTATCACTTTTGTCCCCTCGACCGCGGGCGCCGGGCTTAGGTTGCCCTCGTATCGGAATGAGCCCTAACGCTCTGAATATTTCCCCCCCCTCCTTCCCCGCGCTCAGTCGTCAATTGAACGACTCGGTCGAAAGCGCCTGTACAGTTGACGAGTCGGATGAGGATCCTCCCAAGTTTGACTCTTTTCGAAGGAGGTGAGCCCGACGCTTCTGGGATATCGAGAATGCTGATTCAGGACGACTGCTCCCGGAGAATAACTGCATTTCTTGTTGGACAGGTCGCAAACACAGACTTCATTCGATCGACCCGTCTCCAATCGCCCAGAGAATCCGCGCAACCCGAACCCGCATCGTCTGATGCGCCAAAGCTCCAGAGGGAGGATGATCGCCTCCGAAGGTGTTCCGGAGCCTAGCTTCAAGCCGAGCCCACACGTCTATGACAGGAGCAAGCGGGGAGTTGACGAAGAAGCCGAGGTCACTCAAGTTCGTCTGCGGGCGACACCTGCTCGCGCCCGAGCCCCCGGATCTCCAGATTGTGAAGAAGCGAGTAGAGAACACAGATCTTCGAAAATATATTCGATTCGTGAGAGCTCGGAAGATTCGGAAGGGACTGACTCCGGCGAGTCGCAGCCAGAAACGAGCTCTTCTGAGGGAAAGTCTCGCATAACGTCGATTATGAGAAGGTTTGTGAATCGTTTCCCTTCACTATCACTGGGAGACTTCGCGAAGGAAGGTCTCAGCGAGAGTTCCCTGAACGTCCATCGATTCCACAGAATCCGGATAACACAACCTGCCGTGGGCACGGAATCCGACGTCTCCGCAACTGGGCGGGAAGCGGCGGCCTCTACCGTGAAGCCAAGGTACGAAGCTCGCAGATTTGAATCAGTACGTTAACTCGTGTCGTCTTCTGATGAAACATTAGGCCTGAGAGAGATTTTCTTGCCTCATCCTCGTTCCCGTTCTCTTACAGTCAGCCCTCTGTCGCTCGTAAAGGACGTTACATCAGACAATCGGTAACATTTAAAGAAAAAATATGATATGTCAAATAAAGAGCGTCATACTTCATCCGCTTCTCCGGACTTTGGTCTAGATGATCCCATATTTTTCAGCGCTTCCCGAGCGACCATCTTTTCGACATTCCGGTTGTACCGCTCCCCGATCCAGACCGCTGAGGGCCGGGGCTTTGCCCCCAATTTTCCTGCTTTTCATTAAGTGATTTGAAAATAAACTCCTCCGTCCGAAGGGAAAGGCTTTCGTTCTTATTCGGAGCTGAACCTCGATGAGTCCGCATAGGTTCAGCTTCGGTAAGCTTCCCGCTATCCTGAATCACCTAATTATAGCTAGTCCTCTACGAATTTTCCGATATCCTGGGATCGTGTAGTGTCCGTATGGATCGTCGCGCCAAGAGCCGGGCCAAGATTTTGTCGATTGGTTTCATGATCTCGATCGAAAAAAGGTCCGTTAGATCTGTCGTCGGCGGCGCCTATGAGTCGAATGGAACTCGGGTGGTCAAACGTGGCGATGCTCGCTGGAGACCCTCGCCTTCCTCCTCGCCGGCTGGAGAATGGAAAAGCATGTGCTCTTGCGAGCTCTTAGAGACAGCATCAGGCCTGCGCTTGACCAGTGTCGATACTTCGCGCCACTGTGAATTGTTGCAAGGTAAAGAAAAACGCCAAACAACGAGATTTTGCTTGGACTGCCGCGTCTTAAGAGGAGAGGTGCGCGGATCCCGAGACGCGTCATCGATTCCGTAGGACTCCGACTTCAGTTTTCGCCAGTACAACATCTATAGAGCAGAGGCTAATATATCCTGCTTAAAATCTGGTCGGTGACATGTTTTTGTGAGTCGTGGCATTGGGACATCGGAAAGTGAGTCCTCCATTCTTTGATTGTCTCCAATGCTGTAGAACAATGGTGAGAATGACGGGGTGCGGGATGAAGGCGGATTCGCACGTAATGCATTTCCAGGATGAGTGACCCCTGTGTAGGGAAGTTGAATATTCGCGTCGCAGTACTGGAGCCGCGCTACTGCTCTATGACGTCAAAGTGGTCAAGTGCGATGAAGGAGCTAAGTTCCGCCGGGAGGGGGGGACAGCCTTGAAACCCATTTCCCTTTCGAGCCCGATTGCTTATTCTTACAAGCGGGGCGCAGCTTGAGGAAGCGCGTCGGTCGGTAGCGGGAAGTCACAAAATGCCCATCGTGTACCAGAGTTCGGGAGTGGATTAATCTATGTACAGTAGAGGACCGAGGGAGCTTCGCTCGAAGGAGGCACGGGGAAAGCAGGGATCGCACGTATTTTCCGGCATCGCCCTGGCGCGAAAAGCGCTCCCTGTTATGGCCAACGAGCGTGTCCGATGTCAAATAGTAATCGCAGCATGCACGCACCCGCGATTGCTCATCAATAGCGAGATCTTCAGCCATGATTCGACCATTCGTGGTGATTCATTGCGCTGAGAGATTCGGCGTATATTCAGTGACATCGTCGATTCTCCCGCTTGTCTCCGCTCTGGCGGGACGCAGTTTGCTCATTTTGTGCAGATAGCTCAGAGCACAGATTTCCTAATCGTTCGGAGATGAATAAAAAATAGTCACCACCTGTGTTGTTTCCCAAACTCCCATCGAAAGTGGATGCATATTCCTGAGGGAGAAAATCGCTACGGCTCGAGCTCGCGCGTGGAAGGTCGATTTAGTGCCACGGGACGATACAAAGGTACACGCGAAATGAATGCTTCGAAATTAGGTACGAGCGAAACGAATGAAACAGGCGGTTATCCGGTATGCGCTCTGTACACGTTCTGAAGGCCGGCATCCGGCACAATCATGACTCATTAATCGCAACAGTTGCGTCGAAATTAGAATGGGTGAGAGGCTCGAAGACTGTGTTTTTTTCCGGCAGTGAGAGCACACCCCGGTGTCTGGAAACCAATGAGGACCCTCTCGGCCAGCCGACCTGCTCTTGGCTTTCACTCACGCGAAATGTCGAACGGAGTAGCTACGCCTCGTCGAGCGGCGTCATTTGAGAAAGCCCGAGCTTTGCCTTGGCCTTCAGGTGTCTCCACCTTGACCATCGTTCTGTTGTCACAAGATCTGGAAAGCGCTTCGGAATTCTCGACGCGATCCGGGAGGGAACGATGAGTCCAAATAGCTCGGCGGAGACTTCCGGAGTGTCCATCGACTGTTCACTCTCGGCCGACAAAAATCTTCCGATGGATCGAGAAATTTTTCACCTCGGAGGGAGCTTCCGAGTTCCGAGAGACGGGAAGCGAAATCCTCGCCCGATGAATTCGAGCCGCGACGCCACTATCTAAGTGACAGTCTGGGGTATCGTCGTGTCGAATATCGAAGACGATAGTTCGACACGCGAAGCTAGCCCCTGCGTATTCGAATCTGGCGTTGGCGATGCTACCGCCATATTCAGACGTGATGCCCTTGCCGTCACGCGCTGCCGCCTGTTTGACAAGCCAGTTTCAAGTACGGTTTCTTACTCAGCCAAATCTTCCAGATGTCGGAACGTGAGGTGCCGATTCAGAAGAACGAAATGTCGATCTTAGACAACGAGTTCTCTTCGATCCGAGAGAAATTCGAGGCCGAGATGAACAAAATGGAACAGGAAATGGCCAGGTTCCGGAGCATAGTGCTGGATCACGAGAAGAATATCTTCAACAAGGCGATCGAGCCCGGGACGGTTAGTACCTTCCAGGAGTTCGAGAAACATTCGAGGCTGTATCGTTCTTGCGGAGAGAATCTTTCGCTCCACCGTCGAGAGAAAGACCTTCCGCCATACGAGTCTTAATTCACCGCATAAATCATTTCTCTAACCGAAGCTGTGCTTTGTAATCACGCAACGCTCTCGGTGTATCGAGCGGCTACTTGAGAGTGTGGGCAAGCGTCGAGCGATGCATGCCTCTAACTCAGCGAGTGAATGACTGACTGGCTGGCTGGCTGGTTGGCTGAAACAAGGTCAATGGTCATTTTGTAACGAAAGCCGATCTGCTGGTCGTAGAGACAGAGTCAGAAACAATCAATGCACCGTGCAGGCGATACGCATTCTGATCGAATGCGACAAGGGCGTGTAAGCGAGATTCTCTATTCAAAGCGCTAGTTTTCTTCTGAGTGTGTCGGTTGCGAAGCAACGCGAGAAACGCTCTCAGGTTCGCGGGTGATACGATGATCGAAAATTTCTTTGATACAAGCCGACAAGGACCGCGCGAGGGTCCTCGGTCGGAGTACTTCTCAAAATCGAAGGACTTTCATGATAATATTTCTTCCCGGGAATTCCAGCCGGGGAGCTCGCTCTTCCCCGAGAGTGGAATGGCATCGCCCTTGATCCAGGATGGAGCTCAGGGCAAAGAACTCAAGCTCCGCTTTGATGTTTCCCGCTATGCACCCGAGGAGATTGTAGTTAAAACCGTGGATAATCGCATACAGGTTGGTGACGAAGATTGCACTAACCGGTATCGTGTGTTTGTAAGTACTAACTCAAAGGTAGGCTCTGAGATTGTCCTGAACGATTATTGTGGTCGATTCGATCGAGTAGCGTCAGACATCCGCTCCTCGGAATGATTCGCAGGCGCGAAGGCGGGGAAATCCTACAGCTTTCGAGGAGTATCCGCGCTTTCGGCGATGAGGAGTTTGAGAGAGACCGATATGATAATCACAGACTGCTTCAAAGGTGAGTGCGAAGCACGAAGAGAAATCGGAGAACAAATCGGTTTATCGAGAGTACAACCGGGAGTTTTTGCTGCCACGCGGATTGGATCCTGGGAACATCACGTCGAACTTGTCCAAAGATGGAATCCTGACGATCCAGGCCCCGCTACCCGCGATCGAGCCCGGACCCGGCGGACCTCTCAGTATGCCTATACGTCAGAGCTGAATGTGGAGCCAACGACCTTGTGGTACGCCTGCCCGTGAAAACCGATCATCGAGAGCCCGCGCGGCTCCCGAAAGGAGTGCTGTTCATTGAATCTTCGGGAGCCCTGCTCCCTTATGGCGAGTGTTTTTGAATATCCATTAGGAGTACTCGCAGGAGCAACGATGACGGGTTCAGGGCGGCACAATAATGTACAAAATGGATGAATAAAGTTGTCTTGTGTGCTGATTTCCATTTCTTCGAGATTTCCTCGCGAGTCGAGCGTTTTGGCCGGGTTCACAATGAGTCGGGGAGTTCTCGAGACTCGCTTGGGCGTGCAGATCTGTGCAGGAATTTCCGAAGGAATCGAGAACTCTGGACGGAAATGAAATACATGCTCAGATCACTGGGTTCCATTCCAATAGCTCGTCAATCTCCCAGTTTCAGACAGAGCCTTCCTCGTATGCACGTGTGATTTCCGGATCGGTCCGAATCGGAGGTTTCGAGAGGAATTCCCACCCAGACTTCAGCGGCGCGCGGCGTCAGCAGTGGTCGCGATGTCGACAATGATCTCAGGCGTCTGTCGGACAGCCTATACCGCCCCTCGTCGACACCAAAGGGAAAGAGAGTGAACCGCTCCGGCGGAGTGAGCCTCTGATACCGTGAATGACGTCAGAGCCGACGAGGGAGAACTCGGCAAGGGAATACATCTCAGGCGAGGCACTCAGTCGGCAGAGCAATCGACACGGCTTATTTCTCTTGAGACTGAGATTACTGTAGTGCCGCCACGCTTCGATTCCGTCGCCTGGCACGCTCCGACAGGTTTCGTGGGAAGTTTCGAGAAAGCCGTGTTTTCTCCGTCTGTATGGAGGAGGGATTTCGAAAATCCGAAAGTACTGAGCGAGAGTAGGTTCACTGTGGGGTTTTCAGTCGGGCGCCCGGCTGTCGATCCTGAATTATTTTCCCTGCTCCAACGCAGCCGCCCCCCGATCTTCGGATATGCGCGACGCGGTTCTGAGTAGACGAAGGATACTGATGCTCCGAGAAAACACAGTCGGCCTCCGGAATCGCTCTGAGTATGGAGCTCGATATCGCCGAGAATCGTGTAGGTTCGCCGTGGGTCGAACAGCCCCGTGCCCGTACTCAGTAAAAATTTTCATGGTATGCCAGCCGACGGAGCACGGAACCTCGCGTGAGATGAAGTGCGGCTGTTACGCGAAAATACGAATGAGTTTAGTTCACAAACCAGTTCGGATGGGCTGAGATCCCGCGAACTTGGGAAAATCTGTCGGATTCCATTGATCAACCAAGGTTCCAGATAATTTAAGCGTCCCCTCTCGATGGGAGACCATCGATCTTCGAACATCTCGCTGAAAATGCAAAGCCGTGTATAATGTATCAATCGCCGAGCATTCAAGATGAGCCCCCTTTTAGCGCGGAGAGAATCTGGGCGCAATAATTCATGCGACGGGTTCAAATAGGAAAAGACTACACAGGCTCTAGAATATATCCACGTTGGTGTCTTTATTCTTCCCGTTCAAGAATAATGTTGAGCAATGCATGGTCAGACTGACCCTCATCTAAAAATAAGTTGGTATCCGACATATTATCCACGTGAAGGTAACAGATCACCCTTCGATCAAGAAGAACAGCTTGATATATTTTGAATATCAGGGTCAACAACCATGCTATTCCACTGGATAAAAACCACATTGGTCGCAATTGTATCTCGGCGAATTTATCTCGACGCGCTCGATTACAGGTATTCCGAGGCGGTCGAAATCGGATCACGGATCCGGCCGCTTGATCTTGGGGAATGGATGGAATTCCTCGTTCACTCGCGTAAATGCGTCACTCAATTGAACAAACTGGCATTCACTCACTTTACTCCCATACAGCTTATCTAAGTATTGTACATGATGTCTGTGTACTCAGGTTGATTAGATTAGATTCCGCGCAGATACACCGGAATACAGATTGTGATTTTCAGCATGTTGGGAGCCTAACAACCGAAGACCCGGAGATGCCGGATGATCTGCTGGGTACGCGTTAATTTATGTATAATTCCGCCTCCTTTGGGAGTGGAACGATTTCGCGTAAAATTCATCGGAACTTTCCGCCTTCTCTACCTTCTCGGAGGCTGAGGAGATCGTCCGACTCGATTCATTCTAGTAAATTTTCCTAGGGTCAGTATAAGTGACTGTCTTCTCTTAAAAGGTTCCCGTTATGTTAAGAGCCCTCAATCCTAATAAAAAAAGGTATATATATGTTACGTGAGCTCTCCCGCTCATTAATATGTACGTACGATGATTGACTTGTGTAGGCGATAGGTTAGGCACGCATAACTCAGGGTATACGAATGCAACCCGGGAAATCGATGCCAGCGTCGATGCTGGTCCGCCTCTCCAGAATGATCAACCAGCTCACCTGTCTGGGGGGCGGCTGGGATGGATCGATGCGATCGAAAACACGGGAATTGCGCACCATGAAAAGACTAAGATTCCTCTAAACATTGTAAGACATCAACAGAGACCCGGAGATATATCCTACTGGCTACCATCACGCTTTCAGAGGGGTGACGAAACCCAAGAATGAATCTCGGGAAATAGACGCCACACGCACGTACTCGTAACGTAATCCTCGAAGTTCCGGACTCCGCGAAATGCCTGTCTACACCGACGTCGAATCAACTCGAGACCTGACTTCGACTCGACAACCTACCTATCGATATCACACTGGGCCCAGAGTTTCGCCCTCGCAGCTCACTGACCAGGTTTGGCACGGCCAGTCGCTCGGGAATTCGTAGGCGTCGTCTCTGCGGAACATGGTGTGCACATACGTACGACGATGAAAATTCTAGGGCTACTCTAAAAATTTTCAACAGGTCTGAACGATGCTCAGGGGCAGCACCGAGCTTCATTCGACAACCTCCTCTCGACGCTCGACATCTTCGCGTAACACCTGTGCAGGAACTCTTTTCCCTCCGCCCGAGGGGATCCATCTCAACGATTCGCTCGCCCCCGCGTTTCGATACGCAGGAATGAGCGATTCGAAATCAATCTACGAGGTGGTGAATCGAGAGTTTTAGCACCTCTCGTAGAGATTTCTCCCGGTTCAGAGTCCCTGCTTACGAGCAGATCCCTTTCCGTACAGTTGAGTGTGCATTCGGGACGTTCCCATGAAGTTTCCAGCGGGGGGCATATTCCTCAGAATGATATGATTGGACGATCATGTTTTCCCGGAAAAATAGATATGAAAAACCGCCTAGGTACTCGGACGTAAGACACCTCCTCATGAACTTATACGGGACATTTCATCATGCGCAATCCGCGATGTTGAACGCACAGACTCGGGGAGAGACGCAGGGCGAACACCATCCGCATTCGTCCGAACTCGCCTCGAGCGCGCTCTGCACCTTCACGCGGAAAATCCCGCGTGACGATAATTGGCTCAGCGGCCCCGAGGCTTCGCTCAGGAACCTCCTATCGTCAGAATCCCGCGAACCACATCTCGAGAATATTTCTGAATCGAATGAGATCCAGGACGGGGGGTGCCCATTCCTCTCAGTGCCCCGGAATGGTGAGTTCAGATAAAATTGATCAACGTTCCGTTTCTCGGTCGAGAGATCTGGGGAGACCTCCAGCTTCCGATTTATGAAAAAGCACCGCTTGTCGTTCATCCGAAGGTGCAGCCGAAATGCAACAACAAATGTGTCCTTAGAGACTTTGCTCTGATGTATATGTAGTTCTTCGTAGAGTTCAATATAGAACCACGTTCTTTCTGCGAAAAACCGGGGAAATACTCGAAGAGGTTGAGGGGGGAAATCCGCATCTGAATAATGCCACCATGGCGCGTTCCTGTAAACCCTGATCGGAACGAGGGTTGCTGCTGCTGAACGATTTCGTCGAAATATCAGCCCGCTTTCTGTCCGCTGAATCGTGGGGGTTTGAGCATCGTTTTCGATTTAGTTCACTTCGCTGTGCAGTGAATCGAATGGATTGATTGAGAAGAGATATCACGGTTCAAGAATTCAACGGAAAAAAATAAGCGCTTCCCCCAGAGCGCCCTCCTCGAAATTCCTTGGTATATGTGATTCGAGCGCTTTCTGTACAAAAATCGGTCCCTTAGACTTCAGAGTAAGTATCAGAGTGAACAGTCATGAGGTATTTACAAAACAGGCGATTCGAACCGTCGACTCTGAGCACGCGCGGGCTGAGCACTCAAATAATGCTCGAATCCGCCGGTCCAAGTCCGTTCCGCTATCGTTGATCATCATCAACAAATGACGCGCGTTCACTGTAAACACGATATTGCACCAAAACGTTATACAACTTTGAAGAAATACACCGCTCGTCCGCTTCTAGCTCATCATGAGCAGCTAATCCCAGATGACGTCGGTTTTGACTAGAGCCGCGCATATTGACTCTAGCACTAGAGGATCTGTGCTGAGAAGTCATGACGGTGAGTCTGTTGGTGAACGCTGCTTGTCTGGGCGAAATTTCTCAAAGGGTAGGGTGGAATAGAGATAATTTGATTTTCCGGGCCGTAGCCTGTAATAAATACGCCGAATGTATTTGGTTCTCGACGAAAGTATCTCAGCTGTCTCCATGTTTGTTGTGATCAACACCGTATCGGATACCTACCTCCGCTGTTTGGGTAGAGCCATTGCTTTGGTAGGGGAAGATTGCCGTGGATCCCATGGGGAGACCCCATCTCGCTGCTCGAGGGAGACGAATCGTTCGCAGATGATGTCCTCGGATTCTGCGACTCGGGACTGCTGGACTCCCTGGGGGAACGAGAACGATTGACTGAGCTCTCGTATTCTCCCTGCGCGGGCGTTCCATTCGACACCTGATTAGCGGGAGTTTCGGAAAAAAGTAGATCAGAATGTCTCGGGACTTACCTTCCCGGTGTATTCCAGTAAGACACTGCAGATAAGGTTCTACTGTCCTTGTAGGAGAGAGAGCATCCATTGAATGTCGGGACATCGCAGATTTCCGGACTGCGCGGATCCTCATCGAGATCATGATCCTTGGGCTTTAATTCGATCAGTGATTTCGAGCCTAGCATCAAGTCGTCGTTGACAATGTTCTCGATTGCAAGGGGATTGGTTGACCGACCTCCATATACTGTGAATGCACTGCGGCTTAGAGAATTACGGAATGGGGCTCTCCGCCTCATTGACCTGCCCGCCCATCCATCCGCCCCGTCCATGAGCTTCGGACGATTACTCTGGAACCCCGATCCTCACCGAAGTCATCGTCGTCGGAGATGTCGGGACTGTCGTGCGCTCCCACGGCTCCTCTCGAAAGGCTTGCGCTGCTCTCTTGTGACGATATAGCTATTTTAGCCGAATAACGAGAAGCAAACTCGAGTCGCTGTTGCTCGCCGAGATCGTTTGGTAGAAGAGTGTTCACGCACATGAACATCTCGGGCTGGAACCAATGTCGGTGTCGATATGTATGTATAACGGAGACTCGGCTGCAGCGAGGGAAGCATTCAGGGAGGTCGGCTTCACTGGCACACTTTCTCACCTTCAAGCTTGTCGAATCGTATGACACCACCCCGAAAGACCGCAGGTAAATACAATCTCCCGATTCCGTACGCAGACGGTACACGATGGTACCTTTGTTTCTCTTGAGCACTGCGAACGAAGGGTTAACCTTTGAGGATAGTCGTCGAGATAGCCGGGCCGTCGGAGCCGGAACATCGGAGTGACGCGAGCTTTCATCGCAAGAGTTGCGGGACTCTTCCGGAGCGTTCGCCGAGGTAGAAATACTCACTTTGTGCGAGCGCGAAAAGCGCGATCGGTCGGTCCTCTTCAACCATGAAGTTATGCGCGGACTGCATTAAGACCTCGGTAGGCGAGAAGCCCGTCAAGCAGGCTATGCGATGATCCGCAAACGTTATGGTTCCATCCAGTTTGTGGTAAGTAATGTATTCGTTCTGATAGAAAAAAGTATTGGTTTGCGAAAAGGACTTCTTCCGTCGAGGAACAACCGATGACAGTCTGCATAATGTGAGCTGTACGAACCTGAATGGAATCTGTTAGACCGAATTTTCTGCTTGGATTGATATCGATCTCCTGCGCGAACACGGCCAGCTTCATGAGTTTCATATTGAAGATCTGATTCGGCAAAGATCCTTTGAGGCAAACGTGACATCGCATCACCTGAACGAGAGTGATTCGTCATTGATTGAATGCGAATTCGAGCCGGCTGAGAGCCGTCACCCGGCGAGCTCCTAAGCGGCTGGCTCTTCATTATTTCCATCCTACTCGACGGTCTTGCTTAAAGCTCGCTGCACGCGGAGTTAGGACGACATTTTCTCATATGGAAGAGGAGAAATTCGTCACCGTCACAAAGAACTCTAAGATCCGTACTCACTTTGTAACTCAGGATCTCGGAACGCGCAGCCGACTTTTCTAAGAATTTGCCAATAATAGTGAAAGTCCGCGATATGACATTTCCGTTTAGCACCCGGAGCTGATCTTCCGGATAGTCCCGGGCTTCCGAGACAATGCTCGCAAACTTCGAGAGGTCGCTTTCATGGAGTATATGTTGTATATAGCTTCCTTCAATATCCATCTGCAACATACCGGGACGATCAGTGATCATGTTCATCCGGAGGCCAGTCATTGATCGAGTGATCGAAATTCTTGCGATGAGAAAACTCTCACACTCACCCTGTCATAACCCAGAGTGTTCCTTATGTTAGGTGTAGCGAGGAGCACCAATCCTTCGAGATCCGTATACAAAACGAAGCCATCCGCGGCTTCGAGAACTTGCGTCATGGATGCGTTCGAGATGAATTCCGGTCTCCATCTCTTAGGCTGGAAGAGCCCATCATCGATTCCCATCGCCTCGTCGATCCGGAAATGCAAGTTCAGACGAAGCTGATTCGCGGCGCTCCTGAGAATCAAAAGGAGTTAATTTCTCAAATCCCGCAATTCTCCGGCACTCAAGAAGAAGTCGCGCTCGATGGCTCCTTGCGGACACGGGGGACATTACCCGTCACATGGGTCGTAAGGCAACAATACCTCAGTACGTCATTCTTCGTTGGTTTCTTCGACGAAGAGTCTATGGATGGTAGAAGTCTCAGGATCTGCTCAACTTTCCCGCAGAGCTGTGCCCTGCGGTTCTTTTCCTCAAACTTCCGTTTGCGCTTCTTGGAGACGTCTGATGTAACGCCCTGGGCGCATCGCGATTTTGGATCGCTCACCACTAAGGTCTTGTCTGTGGGAGAATAATTTTCATGCCTTGAGCCAATGAAAAGCGTTTCCTCTCAATCTGGGTCTGCGAGCGCCGACTCAATAGTCGTTCAGTGTGTAATCCACATCCAGCGACGTCTAGTAGATACACCATCCTTGTGGAAGAACTCGCCCCATCCCGAAAAGCATCGCCGAAACTAGCGCGGTCACTGAAGCAGCCCCATTCCATTAGGCCACGAGTTTATTCGAAGTTCCGCCAACCCTTTTAACGAGACTGAGTGAGATATGATCCTCCCAGGGCGTACGTATCCCGCTTGAATCCAGGATCCGGCTCCGCGTCAGTCCTCTCGACGAAGTACAATTTCCCAGTTGCAATGATGTGGCGTGAGGAACAGCCAGAAGTATTCAAGGAATGGAAGATCATGCCGACTCCAGCCCGGACTCGCTTCGAGAGTATAATCTATACTTTTCCTCCGCCCAGACTCTGCTCGAAAATAATTGCGGGATATCACGACGAGTGATCTCATTCTGGAAGGCTAGCCTTCATTTGGAGGACAAGTCAGGTTCTCGCTCGAGTCTGGGAAATCTGAGGATACGAAAATCGACCGTTGCACCAATTGCAGTAACGTCACGACGAGACTTGACGTCAGACTCTGAAGCTCGTCCTGAGTGCTTCCTAGATTAGAAGATTTCTTGGAAGGGATTCAAGGTGAGGCAGGCTCGGAGGATCCTGATTCATTATCGATGGCAGGCACGGATGAGAAAAATCGAAGCAATGATCCAAACGAAGGGAATCGTCATGGGGAAATTTTCTACAGGAATGAACCAGTCCGAGTCAGTGCCCGCACGGAACCGGGGACCCCGGGGCCCCGCACGGAATCGGAGGATGCGACTTTCGGGGTAAAGTCACCAGAACTCGACCAGGGGGGTCGATTTGAGGCGGTTGATGAGGTTGTTGAGTCGCCACCGTCTGTACCGTTTCGTTCGGTGGCGACGGCGGGTAGCCTACGGCTCCTAGCATTTGACTGGTCATCTTCCCGGTCAGAACTTCCTGAAGGACAGGCGAGAGAGTCGTGCAATCGATTCCATAGCTCGCATTCGCAGGTGCGTAATGATCTGGAAAATTAATGAAAGGAGCAAATTATTTATCGAAAGGCGGGATTCTACACGCTCGTCGAGTAGGGCCCGTATTCGATGCCGTGCCCTAACGCAAGTTCCCGGATCTCTCTTTCGATTTCCGGAGTCCTGATTGCCAATGCTACATCGCGATAGAATCGCTTGGGGGAGAAACCAGGGCAAAGGAATGTGTTGGGAGATGAAGCATTTGGAATGGAGCACAGCTCGAGCGAGCGATGCTTCTTGTACGATCGATGCGCATCACGAAGATCACGCTATCTCGACTGTGTACATCGAACAAGCTCCGCCAGCCGCCCGCTTCATCTGCAAGATTCCCTCCTCGAATCTTATGGTCGGCGGGAATTGCAGGGAAGACTGCCGAAACGAGGCGAAACGGCGGGAGGCAGGGGTTCACTGATGGGAATAGTTTCGAGGAAAAAATTCTCGACCCTAGAAGCCCGAGCACTTCTACAGGAGAATAGAAAGCTACTCAGTGAACACCGTCTCCTTGTCGTCGCGGCAAGTCGTTCTCTCCGATATAGACTGACATTTCCTGTACCGCGCGTCAATGTTACCCGTTCGAAGTCGGAGACAAGGCGGATTTTCAGAATGTAGTGCGTGTTTCACCTTCCACTCGATTCTACCAGGCCCTGGGAGAAGGATCTCTGAACACGAGCTGAGGGATGAGCGGAGTTCAGGAGGAAGTTTGGGAGAGACCGAGAAATATGTCTCTCCGAGCAGGCGTTCTGGAATTTCGCGCGGGGGAAATAGTCTGCAGATACATTCCTCGGGATCCACGGCCGACTTTCTAGCAAATACGAGTCCTTGTGTCAAGGAATGAACGCATAAGTAGGGGCCCCGTCTCTGGGCTCTTTCATCGATCAGGGATCTATTGATGAGTGATGAGGAATATATTATGCATCTCTTCTCATACTCGATTCTTCCGATCCTATCTGATCCATCGGGGATTTGACGACAGATGGAGACATCCCCCACGAAACGGTGCATCAGTTCGAAACAGCGAAGCGAGACGAGCACAGTCGCCATCCGATGGCGAATACCTACACGATCTCAATGCTCCTTCACGGAATGAAGATTTTGCGCGATCGACGAGCGTATCCGTACCGAGATGAGAGCCGGGAAACCATGACCAACCGAAGAACTCCTCGGCAGCGATGCTCTAGCGTACGCGACCAAAATCCCTCATGATGTCGGATACCTGTTTAAGCTCCTCTCGGGTGCCTTGTGACAAATAGTGACCGAGAATCGATCAGTTAACTCCGTTCGGGTAAACGTCGATCTGACCGTGGCCTTTGCCTGCTCCAACCCCTCCTTGCCTGACAAGAGTTTTTATTCCCTGAGGAATGACACGAGGGCGGTATTTGCATTCCGTTCGGTCAATACTGGGTCTGTCAGTCCCAGGCGACTTCACATGCGGATTCGTCTCTCCGACGAATACGATACCCCTGGCGAAAGTCTCCGAAAGTTGTTCTCATTCGGAGGCATTCGAACTCGAGGAGACGAAGAGCACAGATATCTCGAGAGTGATTCCCCCGCAAGCGGCATGAGTTGCGAGCTGAGACCGAGCGGGGAACCTCGGAGTACCTCAGGATTTGCGCAGCATTCCGAGCGGCTCAACCCAAAAGGACGTGAACTCTCGCTCCGGCTCGGATTTTCTTCCGTGTTTCAAGATAATCTGCAGCGATGGAGAGAGACCTAGCTTCCCCGTTGGCTGCCGTTAGTATATAAACAGTCGAGCGCCCCCCACAGATATGTCAGCAAACTATGGGCCGTGCACTAGTTCCCATCCCATCATCTTTCCTGGCATTGAGAATTGACTGAGCGGAGAAATTCGTGTTTTGCAGATGACTTAATCTCGATCGGCGATACATGCGACTCCCTGCCAGGGGTCCTGTCCTCCCACGCCGTGGGCGCACCCCTGAAGAACGCCACTGTCTCTTCTCGGTGGCGAGTGACTGCTCATAGGTACCGAAGCTGTGTACACAATGCTCACCAATGCGCAGCACCGAGAATTAGTTCTCGCTTTCCCCACCGATTACCATTATCGATGGAAAAGGGAACTCGGGAATGGTATAATCTGTCACAGTTCTTCGTGGCGCGGGAACCATCGTTCCCTAATAACATTGCAAAGCCTGCTCGAGAGCCCATCTCTGCACGACGCAATATTTTGATTCCGGAATTAGCTTCAACGATAAGTATTCTTAGATGAGATCCTCATCCACAGTACGAATGGTGCGTCGAATGCGAGAGGGATCGATCAGGACTACGCTCAACAGTATGGGCAAGCTCTCCCTTAGGGGGCGGTTGCGGGATTCTCGGAGTTCGCGCCAAGAGGCTTCCGGGGGTCCAGTTGTGAACTTTCTGTACCAGGCAGCGCCCAGGAGTGGTGGGAGGGATTGGGGTACCTATCGACCTTCACACAGTGCGTCGTCCCGGTCGGAAGCGTCCAGAGGCGCGCACGAGGGGGGGGCAAGGGGGCCATGGCCCCCCCCAAAACTTTTTGGTTCATACTACCTTAGTCGGACCTAGAACTAGTAGCGAAGCTCCTCGAGAATTCAATGGCGAACGATCCTTTGAAATTGAGCGCGCCGCCACCTCGATTGACAAATAAACTCTTCCCGTCGAAAAAAGATGACTGATCTCGGTGACTGAATGACCTCTATAGAGTTCTCCGCGTGACCTTTTGCACGACGGCGACTAGCAGCCAAATCACCCAAAAGGAATTGTGATAGCCGTCTCGTGCTGTTCCTCTTACTCTTGCTTAGTTTAGCAAACATCGGGAATGAAAGCTCCGGCAAAACTCAGTCGTTTCTTCTCGAAACAGCCAATCTGCGCCAGTCGTGCCGATGCTGAAAATACGGCAGAGAGCCCACCTTCAACTAGTCGAGAAGGGGCGTCGTCCCCGACGGAGCCCCCATCGGATACGGCAGCGAACTCAGAGGTACCTCCCAAAAAACAGAGATTGAATAATCATCCTATGGACATTGGCCACTTTGTCCGTTTAAATCCCAGCTCCGATCACCCCTCACCGATGAGCAACGGTACAAAGTGCTCGAAAACTGTTGGAAACCCGACGTTTCCTATACTTTTCCGAAAACATTAGAGTCGGGTCGCAGTCGCAGTTTCCAACATCGCTATCTCGAAACTTGGAGGTGGCTGGCGTACAGCGAGATGCACGGAGGTGGTGTCTTTTGTAAGCATTGCCTTCTTTTCGCAAGAGAATCTTCTGATCAGGGTGGACCCCGAGCTCTCGGACTCCTGATCTCTCGACCTCTATCGAAGTTCAAAAAAGCTCTCGAGGTTTTCAATGCTCACGGTGAAAGTCGCTACCATCTCGAAGCAAGCGATGCTGCAGAACTATTCCTTGAGTGGTCTAAGGACAAAACTTCACGGGACGTTAAAAATCGATTGTCGGCTGCGCGCTCGCAGCGAGTACTCCGGAATAGGAAGCGACCAATACCCATAATCAAAACCGTCATCTTGTGTGGTAGGCAGAACATTCCGCTCAGAGGTCATCAAGACCAAGGGAAGCTCGGAGATACCGCTGAAGACGCAAATGACGGACACTTCCGCGCCTTGCTCCGATACCGTCTCGATACCGGAGACAAGCTCCTAGAGGAACATCTCATAAATGCGGGTTAGAACGCAAAATAAGATCCCAAAATGTGATCATCGATGCCATAGGCAAAGTTATTCGGAAAAGAATTGTTGACGATATCAACCAATCCAGATTTTTTTGTGCTTGCCGACGAAAGCAGGGATGCTGGCCAGACAGATCAATTGTCAATTTGTCTTCGCTATGTAGGATTCCAGGATGATCGCAGTGTGATCAGAGAGGTTTTCTTGAAATTTTGTGATGTCGTCGAGAAAACGGGCGCGGGGCTCGCCCGGACGATCCTGGACAACCTCAGAGAGGAGGGCTTAGATGTGAGAAACCTGAGGGGACAAGGTTATGACGGCTGCAGTTCGATGAGCGGTCAATATAAGGGCGTTCAAGCCCAAATCAAAGCTGAGGTGCCCAAAGCGTTGTACTTTCACTGCGCTAGTCATTGTTTGAATCTTGCGCTGGTGCACTCCAGTGAGATTGTCTCGATCCGGCTTGCAGCTGGCGTCGTTGGGAGCACTTGTAATTTCTTCACGAGCTCCTCCGCGCGTATAAGACTCTTGGAAGACAAGGTGGAAACTGAGGTACCCACGTCCAGGAGCCGTCGCCTCAAAACTCTATGCGCCACCAGATGGGTTGAAAGCCACCATGCTTTCATAAAATTCAGAGAACTCCTGATCCCCATCGTTCACAGTCTCCGAGAACTGAGTCAAGAACGAGGTGATACTGGAGTGCGCGCATATCAGCTGGTAAACTCGATTTGCAGATGCGACTTCCTCGTTTCTTTGTTCATCATTGAGAGCTTTTCCTCGCTCTTCTTGCCTCTCTCCATCAACCTCCAAGCTAGAGAGCTCGACATCTCTGCTGCCTTAGCAATGCTTGATAGCGTTCAGTCTGTATTGAAACAGAGACGCGAGAACGCTGACACGGTATTCAGCGCTCTCTTCGATGAAGCAGAAGAAATCTGTCTCAGTCTCGAGGTAGATGTCAGATCGCCTCGCATTTGTTCGCGACAAATAGCCAGAGAGAATCATCCTGCCGAGACTGCAGAAGATTACTTCCGCGTTTCGTCGTATCTTCAATACCTTGATGGTCTCATCGAAGAATTGCAATCGCTCTTCGCCGATCTTAGGCAGAGCGCGCTTGAGGTGCAATGTTTGGTACCGAAATTCACAGTTAAGAGCTCCTTCGAAGACTTAATCGATACAACTGGATTCTATGAAGACGACTTGGAATGCAGTCCGAGCATCGTGAGAGGAGAATTCGAGCGTTGGCAAGCCAAGTGGGTCGCCGTCCCTCAGAACGAACTTCCGGGAACCGCCATCGAAACCTTGAACAAGTGCTCTCCGAGTGATTATCCCAAGATCGCCCTTATGTTGCAAATATTCGCAACTTTCCCGGTCACGACCGCCTCCGCGGAGCGTACATTCAGCGCCTTAAGGCTTGTGAAGACGTATCTACGATCTAAGATGGGAGGAGATCGATTGAAGGGGCTCGCTTCGATGAACATTCAGCGTGACGTTCTTTTTACCACGGAGGAAATGCTCGATGTCATTGCCTTGGACCCCAGGAAAATTGAACTGGTCTTGTAAGCCCTCAACATTACTCATATTCCCAATCATACAATACAGTTATATTGTACGAATATATGTAGTCAGGATCTGTAAAGTAAACTCGAATGGGAAGCATCATATGATACTATGACGTGGTTTTCGTTCTCTAAATTTCACCGGAATACTGAGGGGCATCCAAAGTTCAGCTCATCAATGCATGAATTTTGTACATTTTATTTAGGTTATAACAAGTAATAATATTGGGATGGGCAAAAACAGCCCAACTATCCCACACCAGGCAGTCCGTCCGAGAAAGGAAGGGAGCCCTGTACTGCGGCCGCGTTCCCTCGCTGAACCTCAATCGCCATACGCTGCAGCAGGTTTGTTCTTCGAAAAATAATTCTGGCCCCCCCCAAAAAAAATCCTGTGCGCGCCCCTTGAAAGCGTCAAGACATTAGAGGAAATACGGCCTTCGGCGAGATTTCATTGTTGGTACGTTTGCAGATCAAACGTTTACGGACAAGGAAAACACATTGGAGAGTCGGAAGGGATATACGGCTGCCGTCGACATAATTTCCCTGAAGAGCTCACCTCATGAGAGGTTTTGGTTCGAGAGAAAGCCAAAGAAAAGAGGGCCCCGATGTCTATCATACACTAAATCAGAGGTTTCGCGTGGATGACCTCGCGCAAGATCTTAGAACACCGACGGATTTTCCTTGCGCGACGCGGGAGATTCTTACGACGACCGGCTCCACGCGTGCTCAAATCGGCGAAGGCTGATAATGTCAGTTTTTTTCCCCCGCATAGAGCATAGTGCATTCGTTTCCTCGTCGAGCTCCCGAACGAATCTCTCCAAGGGACGCTCCGAATAGTCGCGAGCCTGGTCGATGATCCATGAAAATAACAGTCCAGGCGCCGACTGGTCCATGGAGTTGAAAAATAAGTTCGATCATTTTGTAGCGTTATAGAGCGCTTCTTCCGCAGTGATATGTTGCTCATCGAGAGCCGAGATGGAAACACGTCTCGCTTTGTCGCTCGATTCCGAATTCTGGACGGGAAAGTAGCGGTGACCGTCCGGGAGAAAGCTCTATAGTGAGCTCTTGAGGGTCAAGAACCCAAGAAAGACCTTGATCGGCGCTCGCCGATCCACCTCGAACGCACTATAAGTCCTGAATATAGACTCTATGTAATATCGAATCAGGAGAGGAGGGGACCTGCCGGGTAATATCCAACGGCAAGAGCTCATTCTGACTTACGGAGCTTGTTCCAACGATTCGACGATTCGATGGTCTCCATCATAGCACCGAAGTAGAACTAATAACTTCGTGGAACGTCGACGTTATTTAAGCCATACAGCACTGCACTCGGCGCCGTCCGAGGGCCGTCCGCCCTCTGATCACCTACCTGTAGCATTCCTCTGCAAAAGCTCCCTTTCTCCATGCCTTCCCTCTCGGTTACTCCGAGTCTTCTTCCCGGACCCCTCTCGTCCCCAGCGGCCGCTACCGCCGATATGAACAACAACAACTACTGTACACTGAAAGATAAGCTGAACCTCGTTCCGGAGAACGCGGCTCCAGTGAGTAACCAAGCGAATTGTTCACCCCATTCAGACTGTCGACGGCAGGCTTCAGCGGCTCCAAGGGCTCAAGATCGGACGGTCGGTATGTTTCAAATGAGGATAACGTCCACGAGTACCTACATTGTTCGGTTTCGACCCACATGGTTTCTCCCAAGCTACGTGGGGAAACTGTTCCCTCATCCGACGACGGGTCCGCTCCGATAGACTCACCTCCTCGAGCGAGAGGCTTCCAAAAGACTAGTACGGCGAGAACGAGTCGAAACGACTTTTGAGAGCCAGTCAAATGTATGACTGTCAGAACTTCGTCGCTACGATTTAGTAATGACGTCCGTCCGTGTTTCCCTCGTGACATTCAACTGTTGGAGTATTTTCCGAATCAAGACAGCTGGCTTGACGAGGCTAGCACTGGTGGTTCGACTCCGCTTACTTGACACTGAATACCACCCGTAGAGTCCAGGCGGGTTTCTGAATACTGAATACAGCACGCTCACTGTCCTATCAGGGAGAATGCCTATTCCGCCGGCTCCACCGAGGCTGTGTCTGTTAACGGCACACAGCGACCGCAGCCTTCGTCGGGGTTCATGTAACCTCAGGTTCTCATCGATTCCGGAGCCGAGAAGCTCGCGGCGTATTACATGAGACCCTCCGCGCACTCCGGAAGAAACTCAACGAAGGGTTCCAAATCCGGATCTCATATCATTCCGTCTCCACCTCAAGGGAGAGCTTGTCGAAACCACTTCAGGACGCGATGGTGTTCGCGTCGCCGCGCCGACTGAGGTTTCATAACGAGTCGAGCCACATTGAAACGGAAAACCTAATGCTTCTTCATCTAGGGAGCATCGTTCCTCCAAAAGTCATGTGAAGGTCCATATTCGAGAGCGGTGTCCGAACACCCTATGTCTCGGATTCGGTATAATGACGCGGGCGCAAGCGTCAACTCAACCAGGACCTTACTTGTTCCTGCATGAGGACGAGGATACTTTCAAAGAACCCTTCCAGAAGGTCAACTCGCTCCCAGACGCGAAAATCAAGTTGAATTCGATACGAGTGTCGCTGTCGGCAGTCGATCGGCCGCGGTCGGCCTAGGGTCCCGAGAATTCATATCCGCGACGTAGATATCGATTTTCGGGATACAGCTCGCGAAAGGCAGCGACCTCGTAGTGAATCCTCGAACGATGCACGAATTGCAGAAACGGATTCTCCCGTATAGATCGAGGGCGAAGTCGTCGGACCGTGTACGTGATATGAACTTCCGCCGAAAGTCTCCGACGAGCCTCGGCGGGGTTTCTAAAGAATTTACAAACATCTCATCCTGGCATCAATTTATGGCAAGGTTCTTTCGCTCCTCGTCCGCACAGGCTTCGAGAGACCGCCCTCGAGACGGTGGCAAGAGGACGAGATGTTCAAGGCCGAGCGTACTGAACACGGAGCTTGTTCCGCTACCCTTCCTCGCTCTCTCCTCAGTGAATCCCTGAACTGTTCCGAAGCCTGGCTCGACCTGAAATAGCTGTTGCTGACCTTGAATGATTTATTGACCCCCGGTAGAAGACGGTGGGTATGGCTTCAGGGCCTCGACACCGCTCATATTGGAACATTCTCCGGTCGAACATTTCAAAGCGGAAGCTCCATCCACGAGACGGAAGGGTCACTATATATCCTCTTCCGTAGTTTCAAGCAGGAGCTGAGGAACTCATGTGGACGGGAAGCCCTCGAGCACGATCTGAAGTCCCGCCGGACGAACGGCGGCGGCGTAGATCTGATATCGTCCGCCCGACCGCAGAGCTTCTTTTTTCCGAGTTCAGGTAGCTCTCGTCGGTGAGCCCATTCTCTTACTGCGGTCATTGCATCAGACGTGTCTTCCGAACGAGGCTGAAAGATCCTGTATCTCGATTTTTTGCCGGATCTCTTTTGCTCTGTATAGGCACCGCGATCCCGCAACATTGGACCATGGAACCAATTGATGGTCGGAGGGCGGTTTCGGAAAATATTCCGAACACGACATTCCTGCGGCACTGAGTTTGCGACGGGAAGCAGGGAGCCTCTTGGAACTCTGTTCGGAGGAAACAAACAGAGCCCGCGCAGTCGGCAGCCGGTCCGGACGACCCAAGTCTGACGTGCTCGCAATCACGCCAGCCGCAGCGCTTCCGTGAGCGCAAGCAGAGATTGAGTGTGTCCGAATGGATCAAGGCCAGACGCTGCTCATTCTGACAGAATCCGGGATCAAGGCTCCGTGATTGGTCGGGAACGACAACCTCCCCAAGCGTTCGGAGGCTACGAGGATTTACCGAGAAGGAATCGCATTCCAGCCAGAGATGAATGATTTCGCTCATGTCAGAATTATTCAGTTCATAAGTTATAAGAGTTCATAACCCGAGGGGCGTGGGGATGCTCATGGACTCATCGGAAACTTGATACCGCATGTACAAATTTATTCATTTCATCTTTCGTACTCTCTCTGAAACGGTCTATATCTGACTGTTGGTCATCTTCTCCTCCAATGAATACCCGTTCACAAACGACTATTTACACAGTGAATACATGGCAGTGGAGAAGAATTCGTTCTTCCATCTCTAGCGAACTCGAACCAGAAAAAGAGGAAGGATGGACATAGGTGCCAACCAGAGGGCAGGTCGACAGCTTTATCGCTTCAACCAGGGATGACTTTGCAGTGACACTTTACTTCTATCACCGTAGTCATATAGAAGCTCCTCGCCAGAACATATGTCTCGCTTCGCGAGGAATATAAGTCTCGGTTTACCACCGATCTTGACGGATCTCGTTTTCAGGTTCGCGCCTTTTATAGAGTGGTTGATAAGTCTGCCGAGTCGCGTGCTCTCGAGGGTCGCATCTACACAGTAGCTGCAGTTCTCGTGCTGGAAGTAGTACATGTAGCAACCTACAGACGGATCTTGCGCATACCTGCGAAAAAATTCATACACTCGCTTAGTGGAGATCTCAGATTGCGGGCGCAACGATTCGCAAGCATCAACAGCTGAGCGTCTCGCGCAGAAGTTCTCCCCGGAGAGCGGGGGCTGAGAGAGAGAGCGCGCGCGCGCGCTTCCTCCAGTCTGACAGATGCGCTGAGAGGCGCCATCTTAAAATGACCGTTGGAGCTTTAAACCCCCGCCGGTGTCAGGCGGCTTTCGAAATCATATGGGCGCCGGCCGTAGAGACCGAAGATTTATTCTGAGTCGGAGAAATCGTGGGTCTACACGAGGAATGGTTGCACTCGCCCGCACATATGGAATACAGACGAAATTAATGGAAACTCACTTCTCCTCACGAAGCCGAGCCTCCTTGAGATTGATAAGGTCTCCGGCGTATTCGAGGACAAAGTCGCCAGCTCTGAGGTCGACCATCGATATAACTCCACGGCCTTTATCTTCATACTTGACGATCTCGAATCCTGATTCGTCTTCGCGAATAATTCTGTCTTCCACGAGAAGTTGTTTCGATTTTATGACCTCCGCCTTCGTCCGTCGGTTACTCCGTCGAGGTTGGAAATAGTCGGTAATGAACTTCTCTTTGCTGTCAAGCACGGCAGCGTTCGGAGTCGTTTTCGACGACGTAGTTTTCGGTGAAGAGACTGCCTTTGGTTTCTTTCTCGTTGTGCGAACTCGTTTCCGCGCTTTGGTCGTAGTTTCAGTTTCGGGGACATTTTCTTTCTGTCTGCTGCTCACGCTGCTACTGACCGAAACCTCGACTGTTGTTCCCACTGCGTATGTTGATCCGACGGCTGTCACTGTCGCGTCAGCAATGACACAATCTGAAGCTGACTTAGAATCCACCTCGGAGAGTTCTGCTTTGATTTGCGGAACGAGATACTTCTCGATATTCATGCGTGTATTCGGGGACTGGACGTTGCCAGGTCTCCGTCTTGCACTGGTCGTCGAATTAGCTCGCGCCGTTTCTGGTGACTTGATGCCCATAGTTCCAGACGGACTACGGTGACCGTGGCAGCGACTGATTCCGATGCTCAGAGCGACAACAACGGCGGAGAGTAGGAACTTAGAGTCCTCCGCGAACGGAACTTCAGCATGAACGAGGGTCCTCTCGGGCCAATGTGGCACTCAGCGCCTAGCCAACCAAACAACGGCCAAAAGTTAAGTCTCGTTCTTCTTCAGTGTGCTTGGTGGTGGCTTGCTTGTCGGCGGCAGCATCAACAGCGGCTGCTATTTGGTGATGTAGTCGTGATTTGAAGAGCATGCGCAGAACTTTTTTGTCCGCCACCATGGTCGCCTCTTCTGAGTGGTCGAACCGGCCAGCTGTAGCAGACGACACGAATTTGAATCGACCGGCGGGAAAGACGCCGCACTAGTGGCGCCACAGCCGGAAGATCATTGGGAGAGAGGAGGCTGTTTTTTTTACACGCAAAACGGCAGTCAACCTCCGCCTGTAACATGTTTCAGAATGGCGGGACGAAGATAGCTCGGAAATCCGACTCGAGGCCACTCGAGCGACCGTAATCGAAGACCGCAACCGCTCAGGAATGAATAACGATCGAATCTAACATTCTAGCGTAGGGGTATATTCGAATGTTGGAACATTTCCCATTCTCGGATCCCAACCAGTCCGAAACGAAGTTCGCGCCGGAGTCGGAGCTGTGGTCGGTAATCATCGCACACATCTCTCTCACTCTGGGAAGAAGTGCCGAACAGCGGCGAGCTACCAGTCTCTGTCGGCTTTACCGATCGGCTCAGTTGCCGACCCACCCAGCCAGCCGCACTGACTGAGAGTGTGTCGCCGAGAGATATACGACCTTAGATCGAGAGCCTCTAGCACCTATTTATTTGTCTGCGGTAATGTGGCGGTGCTTAGCCAATCGCGACTCAGGCCACCAGTGTGTCACGGACCTGTTGAACCTCTGGCCCCTTGCTGTCGTGGTTTCCATGGTCGTCGCTCTTCATATAGTCCGCCGACCGCAAGCACCGCGAGACATGAGGCGGCCGATGGTTTGCTGGAGTGGCTTCGTTACGCGAGATAATTTGGAACAGTTCTTCCAAACGTCTAGAAGTGCTCTGGGGAAGCTTGCTATTTTCGCTGCGTGAGCCGCGCTCGTTCAGCAGGAAAATGCTAAACAGGATGTCCCGTTTCGCTTCCCGGCTCACTCCCTCTCCTACGGGTGAAGAATCTCGTGTGAGCACGAGTCGGAGAACACCAAGCCTGGAGAATCAATACTCCCACCCGGCGCTGGAGATCCCGATGGATTGCGAAGTCCGAATCGGGGTATGCCATCGCACAATGTGATCCAAGACACAATGTCATCAGAGACACGGAAGAAGCCAGGCTCATTCGCAGCAATGACGGGAATCGGCGAGTTGTCCGTCATGTTAAACTCCTCGGTTGCGGGTCGGGGTTAAGCTCAGCCAACGACCACCTTTTTCTCCGCGCTCGCGAGCATTAACATCGAATTAGACGATCGATTTCACTTTGAATTTCAAATGATGTCCTCTGACACGTTCCTCTCATCGCTTTTCCGGGATTGGATCGTGATTCTCGTCGATGTCTTCCTGCATGTTTTCTCATGTTGCTCCGGATGCGCGACAGACGCGCGTCCTCCAATAAGTCTAATAAGAGGATTTTCGTTTTCGTGGATCACTCGTTCGAGCATCTCGTGTCGAAGCAAAGCCACTGTGAGAGTCATCGTTCACTGATTAATCTCGTTCATCAGTATCTAAACGGACAATACTTCTCGGCCTACACAGGGTGCGGGCTTTCGCTACTGGCGAGCCGAGAAACTCGGGAGCAGATGAGAGGACATGCTTGGTCAGCTATAGAGCGCCGAGCGACCGACCAGAGGAAGACACCCTGTTTCGACATTGCTGCTGATCAGGGCAATGGCCAGGTGAGCTCGACGGCCGGGTAGGTTTCACCAGCTTTCACACCCAGATGACCGTCGTCGTCGGCCTTCGCAACTGTCATCATCAGGAGCTGCTGCCATTGCTCAAACTCACTCATCTCTTACGCCGGAATGGCCGCATCACAGTAATTTTCAAGCGCGTAATGAAGAAGTTAGCAGCCGAACTTCATGACACCTCGCGCACCACCACTACCGTCTAACTATGTGAGAACAGCTGGCCGACATACGCCTGCCTGAACGAGCCCTATCCGGAACATCTGGCCTAGCGTATTCAGCGGATTATGCGCTCTTTCTCGACATTCGTATACCTAACTCGGCCATTCGCTGCCGGAACTTTGGAGTAGCGAGGACTCGGCATCCCGCTTGTCCAGGACTTTGTGAATCCTGCAACCCGGGGAGACCCCCGCATCGATGCGACTGTGGACCCGTCCACTGATCCGATGCGCAAAAGAAAAAAACACAAAGCTCGCAGAATCAATCTATACAGAATTATCCACTGAGGATTCAAGCTCCGAGTCCAATGCACTCCCCGTAGCGAAGGATCTTCTCTTTCGGCAGGCCGCGACGGGGGAATCTGCGCTGAGTGGAAGCGTCGATTCCGCTCGGCCATGATAGCACAACTGTATCTGTTGTATCGTCCTCGCTCTGAGCGAATCGTCGCGACGATTCGATCCGCTAGTCTCCGATCATTTCTGACTTGAAATGTATTCGTATGGATCTCTTGTTCCAGCTGAGGCTCGTGTTGTTTTCCCAACTGGCAAACGAGTTCCTCGAAGTCTAGACTCCAAACTCTCGAGAGAGGATCTGATTCGATTTCGCATCATTCGAACATCGATAGTAAACTATGTCGTCCTCATGGTGCTCAGAAGGGGACCGTCGTGATCGGTAACGATCCCGGCTTAGAGACTCTTAAGCATGAATAAATTGCAGCTCGACGAACTCTAACGAAAGCATCCGATCCGTCGCTCCAGTTCGCTTTCGAGAATGCATGATCACCGCAGTCGCTGCTCTCAATACCTCAACTCGATAGAACGTCTCAAACGCTGACGGAGCAATGGAATATTTGTTCGTTCATTTCGGAGCTCACAGCAGTTACCATGTTTCCAGAACAGCTTCTTTCTGTCACGCTCCAAAACGATGAGAAACGGCCCGGCGGAACGATGCCGATGCCGCACCGGGCCCGCGGGAAGTCATCGGGGACGATACGATATAGGATGAATACGGAAGAATCAAAATGCCGCCCATGCATGAACCTCTTGTCCGTCCGCATTATCTCGTTCAGCCATAACTCGGAAAAGGCTCAAAGTGGACACGAGAGCATCAATTCTGAATCTGGTCACGGCGGTAAGAGTATGATGAGGGTATAGTCTAGTGAGATAGTCTTCAAAAGAAGCTGCCATCAGTGAGGAAACACGTCGATTGTTTTTCACCGGGCTCGGCCACACGGAAGATTTGGGCCGAATACTCGAGACAGCCTGTGTCAGCCCGGATGAGCGTGGAGAGACCGGATACATACCTGAAAAGGAAAGATCGGGAAACCATGAAAAACTGTTTTTTTTCTTTGAAGCATGCAGCTCTTCGAAGAGCGACGCGATATATTCTTCCAGAACTGGAGGCTTCGAAGCAGGAGCAACGACCATTTATTGGGTCAGAACAAAGTCAATCGCTAATGAAGTACGGTACGAAACCCACTCGCGTGGATCGCAGACCAATTCATGAATAGGAGTCGACGCGGCAGCTTTCTCGCCTGCTGCGTTCGAGTGGCCTTCTAAATTTCCGATCCGAATTCTGCCATTGATATCACGGTAATCTCCTGAGTTTCGCCCCTGGGAAGCTCGGAAAAACTCGAGGTCTTGACTCAACCCTGTCTTTCGAGCCATTTTGGAAACCGGAAGGAAAAACCACTTCTAGACGTGATGCGTTGTCATCGAACTCCTATCTATCGTAAGAGCTCGAATTACGAGGGCTTATCTATGCGATGCGGCTATAGGTTTCTTGTACATGGAATAGCTTCTGGGGAAGGATCGAGACGAGCTCGCTTTCGCTGTGCGGAGCAAGGTGCTCTCGATATGTCGCATCTCGCTGCGGCCGAGGGAGCTGGAAGGCTCAGCGTTTCTTCTATCAATCTGTGTCAGTCTTCTGCCCGACCTCTACGTCGACCAGTCTTTGCTTGTTTTATGGCGAAGGAGACGCTCCGAATTTCCAAGCTCAGTCCGAACGTCCGTGAGCCAGATGGTGATCTTCGTAGTCAGCATTGAGTGAGCAGCGGCTCGCGGAGGATCTCGATAATGAGACGACGAAAGAAACTCGACACGGATGTTTCCGGGCTGTGACTAGCGGCTGTGGCTCGGAGGCATGTGAACTTTTCCCGAGGATCCCTCCGGACTGAGCCCTTCCCCCGGGATCCGCCATCGCTTCACCTTGCGCGACACGGCTTGCCATCCCTCGGATCGGGGACGGCTCCGAATGTTTTCGTGGACTCACTAAACAGACTATGCCCGAAGCTACATATATCCCGCCGGACACGATCGATCGATATATCGAGGGCAGACATTTCCGATTCGCTTCTTAGAGCGCAGAGAGGGAAGGAGTCTCGGCCCACGCCGAGGCGGAAGGCGACGAAATGTTTGACCGAGGTTTCCTGTTCATCGACGGGTGGTCGAGTGCTTGGCGCAGCCGTGACTGAACGTGCAAACGTGCACAGCCCCAACGACGCCGTTCACGCCGGGGTTGGCGGGGGTTCGATTTCTGCTGCCGGCATAATATTCCGAACGAATTTGGCGAACGGGAGGTTAGGTAGTCGGCCTTGATGCCCTTGGGTAGATTCGCTCGTTGGATTCGTCCCGGAAGCAATGCGAAAAACAATACCCGAGAAGTTAAACCTTGGCTGCGTTGAAATCGCCCCGAAAAAATCTCGGTGTTCACCATTGGTGAATATCTCTGCGGATCTGAGTCCTGCTCATGATTTATGTCAAGAACTTCATTTTTTTTCTCGATTAATCATTCTGCCCACTGCTGATGATCAACTGAGCCTCCTTCCGCTCATTCATGGAGTAGACCGTGTCGTCTCATGTGAGCTCACCTGCTCAAGGTCTCCTCGAAAACAAATGGCGACCCGGAGCGGTCACACGACGTTAAGTCGCCATCGGCATCGAATATTTTCCCGATTCTGAGCGTATTTTCGCTGATTCTACGAGAGTACAGTAATTGACAAAAAGTCGGAGTCTCTGCAGATCAAATCGGAGAGGGACACCATTGTCGAAAACTTGAGAACTCTCTCCAGGTTTCTGTAGACTGGCCATCGTCATCTGACGACACACCTTACGGACTCCGTCGAGGCGTAATCTTCGATGACCCGATACTGTGGTCGCGACGAGGTTTTCGATCAACACGACACTTTTAATCCGAATTCCATTCTATCTCTGTCTTATGCGGAGGGAGGCTCGGATTCCTCGAGCCTAGGGAATCGATCGGATATTGCACATTTCGGAATGCTCCAAGACGTATCTCACTCACGGTCTAGATAAACGACTCTGGTCTCTGTGTCTAGACGATTTTTTGCCAAGAACTCCGACT